CCTCCCTGGCCTCTGAGTGTGGTTGCCCTTTACCATGCTCCACTGTGTGGTTGGTGGTGGTTTTCTCGTCATGCCCCCTGCAGGTTTGGTGTTGAGACCCGCAGCTCTGGCTCAGCTGGAACTTGGGTTGGGTCCCGGCCCCGGCTCTTAGGAAGCAGCCGGCCTTGGGTGCACCTCCTTGGTGTCCTCAGCTGTGAGGTCGGTTAGAGATGGCCTGCTGACTGGGTGGTGAGGCGATGTGTGTGGAACACTGAGCGGGCATCTCGGATGACGTCCCTTCCCTGTTCTTCACCTCCTGGATCGTGACTCTGCTCTTTCAGGTGTGAGCTCTCTGGGCCTTTCTCCGACTTCTTGAATGCTCACTCTGCCAGATTCCAATAGTCTCTCTTCTGCTTGTTTCCCTCTGGGCTGTTTGGAGGTGGGTTCTGGCCTTCATGGAGGTAGCGGGGAGCTTGGAAGAGACGCCCGCACGAAGTCCCCAGGAGCTGCCTCTGCGCACGCTGGGCTCCCGGAGCAGTGTCCGCAGTCTGTGGACCTTGGGTGGACAGTCTTTTGTTGACTCTATGGAGGCTGCTTTGTCCTTGGCCGCTGTCTTTTTGTTTCTTGAAGATCATTGGTATGGTATAAGTGTATTTTGTAACATTTTATTAGATCTTTATTTTGATTAGGTTGTCAACTTTAATTTTATTTTTAATTGCTAGAGGGCACTTATGTTTGCCAAAGAGAGAGGGAGGGAGAAGGCGCCTTTAGTGAGCCTGGCCACGCTGCAGTCCTTTCTCTAATTCTCCATGTTGGGATTTGGGCCATGCTCATGTCCCTGGCATATTTTGCAAGCCAGACTGGAATTCGAACCGTAGTCAGTCATGTGGGATCCGGCTCCCTTGACAGCTAGACTACGGGATTGGCTCAGCTTTAATTTTTTTTTTTTTCTTCTAGATTTTCAGGCAGACTAAACCAAACCCCCAGGGGACATTTCTCAAGATAGTTGAGCTGGTTTTGCCTCTAGTCTGGGCATGTCTAGGTCAGGACCCAGCAGCAGAGCCTAGAGGTCCTCAGAGTCCTGCCCTTGCTCCTGCAGAGTGAGCTGTGGGTGGGCAACTAGGGACGACCCAATGTTCTAGAGCCTCTGGGCCCATAGGGCACCAGGGCTGACTGCACAGGTGCTGTGCTGGGGCACATGAACACGCTGCATGCTCCAACCTGAGGCATGCAGTGTGGCCATGACTGTCTCATCTTAGCCTGTCAGTGAGCAGCTTGGAGCCCAGCCCCCTGAGCAGGCCAGTTCTCTGTGGGTCTGAAAGGGCCTCAGGCAAATGTGGAGTGAGGTTGTAAAATGGGGGAGCCCTTCCCTGGTTGGCCTCTGTTGGTCATTCCTGAGCAGCCTCATCTTGGCCCAGTCAGGAAGCCTGGCCTCTCATTGTGGCCTTAAAGTGGTGGCTGATTCTTTTGCAAGTTTGGCTTTTGGGGTATAAAAATGTTTATACCTTCAACCCAATAACTCTATCACTGGGCTTTTTTTAGAGGAAATAAATCAAAATGCAGAAGTAATTATACTCTATTTAATGATGATTATCAGTACAATGTCCCTAATGCCTGGTAGATGTGGTAACCCCACTGTCTGGAGCCCTAGCCACCTGAAGGGTGGGCACAAGGCCCTGGAGGATGCGCACGCATTTTATTGTCATGAAGCTGTGGTGTGAATGCCACCCCAGCTGAACTTGAACACACTCTATCTGTGCTGAGCAAGATTCCAAAGGACTGGAAGGAAATACAACACATGTGGGAGAGCCCTGGACAACAGGCTCCTGCCTGGCCCTGCCCCATTCACATCCTGAATGCAACACCAGGGGAACACACCGTGGCTTTGGTCCTCTGTGACTCCAGGCTGGAGGCCGCTGCAACATTAGCCTTGGGCCTCAGTGTCACTGACATGATTAGCCCTGGTCAGGGAAGAGGTCCTGAGTGTCACCTGTCACCATTCACCGTCTAGCTTGGCTTCCAGGCGTAGACAGTAAGAAGTTTATATTGTTTTATCAGTCAATTTACTTCAATTTAAAACTGTATTTGAGGGGCCAGCAGGTAGCATAGTGGTTAAGGCGCTGGGCTCCTACATGGCCAGCTCTGCAGTTCAAGTCCTAGACCTGACAGCTTGGAAAACATGCCAGGTGCATGTGTATGTGCCCAAAATCCCTAGAGGAGAATGGAATAGGAGGGATTGCAGTGTGGCCATGCCCCCGGGGGGTGATTTCTCACCATTACTCTCTCTCTGTCTCTCTCCAGTGAGTGCATGCACCCTCTGGCAAAAATGCTAAAATAGAAATACAAAAAACCAAATAATCATCAGAAAAGCCATGATGTATTTTTCTGGTTTTCTATGCAAAAATGCATCATGACTTTTCCGATGACCCTATATATTTGAGGCCAGCTCCATAGCCTGGTGGTAAAAACAGCCATATCCCACCTGGCCAACCATGTGGTTCAAGTCCTAGACCCAGCAGCTTAAGAAACACACTGGGAATCAGCAGATGGCATGGTGGTTAAGGCACTGGACATTCCCATATGGCCAACAATGATTCGAGTCCCACACCTGGAGGCTCGCTTTCTTACTTTCTCTCTTTCTGTTTCTCTCTCTGGTCAAATTTTTAAAAATAAATGAATAAATAAAAATTAAATAATTATAAAAAAGAAATACGTTGTATGCATGCATGCCCAGAATCCCAACAGGAGGGAGAAATGGAGAAGAGAGTGTGTTATGTCTATTCCCCGTGGGAGGTGCTTTCTCTTCTCCCTCTGTCTCTGTTTCTCTCTGGCAAGAACGTGCACCCTCTGGCAAACAAACAAAACTGTATTTGAATCATACCACAGGACAGCATAGCAAGTACATAAGTTACGCTGTAGAATGCAGTAGCCCATAAGCCCTGCCCAGCCAAGAACTGGCCTCTGCCTGTAGGTTTGGCCTCCACTCCCCCTGGCAGATCCATGACCCTGAACTTGGAAGTGAATGCTTCTGCCCCTCCCCCACATTTTCCATTTCTTGTCACTGGGCTCCAGGTCTTCATTCTGGAGAGGCCGGTCTAGCCGTGTGATATTTTGGGCTGCCTCCTCCTCCATGGCAGGACCCCCAAGGTTCATAGCTATAAATACCAATCTGGGCAGTATGTGGCGGCACCTTGAGAACCATGGAGGTATTTTTCAGAGAAAAAAAATGATGCTAGTGGGACCAGCAATTAGCGTAATGGCTATGTTGCTGGATTCCCATGTAGTCAACCGCAGTTCAAGTCCCAGACCCGGTGACTTAAACTCACGCCGGGCATGTGTGTGTGCGTGCCCATCCAAGATCCCAAGAGGAGAATGGAGGAGAAGGAATTGTAGTGTGGCCATCCCCCCTGGGGGGGGTGATTTCTCGCTTTCTGTCTCTGTCTTTCTGGAGAGTGCATGCACCCTATAGCAAAAACCTATCCAAAAAAAAGGGGGAAAATATGCTAGTTTGCTCTCTGGAGCTCTTTCTACATCTAAGTCAACCCAGGGGTGAACTGAAGCATGAGCCCTAAGATGGAAGTGTGATTTCAGTCTGGTGGTGGCTCCTTCATGCACTGCCTAGGGACTGCCTGTCGAGCTCCAGGGTGCTCCTGGTCACCTGGACAGCTGCAGCTGCCATGACCACCTAGGGTGCAGGGAAGGGGCAGATGTAGTGGGCCAGACCACATTCCTGGGGGTGGTGAGAAATTACTCAGCTCCCCATCTTGACAGCAGCTCATTAGGAGCCTCAGGTGACACAGCCTGGGGCTAGAGGGAGGCAGGAGCCTTGGCTCTAGGTTGGGGGGTGGGATTTTTTTCCAGTCAAGTAAATAAATCGCTCAACAGGTTTGCACGCGAGGACTTGCCCGCCGTGCCGTGCTCGAGAGGTTCACGGTCAGACACTGCTGCCAGCAAGCAGAACAGCTCACAGATCTGGGTGTTCGATGGCGTCTTTATTGCCAAAGCCTGTTTTATGAATGCCTTCTGGCACTGACTTTGCGTGTGTCGCAAATCCAGTGCTCTCCGCAGGACCATGCAAAGACACCAGTCTTCCTCCTTTAAACAGGCTCTGGCGGAGAGGGGATGTTCTCTGGTTCTGGCAAATGGCAAGGCTCCCTGTCCTGCCTGTGCCCTTTGAGACCCATGGGCTGGAAATCTCTGGGTGCCCTTGTGTTACTCCTTGGGCACTGCCATGTGCTCCCTACTTCCTCGAGCCTCTTGTGGCTGGCACTTGGGTTTTGCTTGCATTGCATTTGGCCGAGTGGGGCGAGAAGGACCATGGACTTGGCTTTGCTCTGACTGAGGAGGGGCCCTGCTTTGCCAGCCCAGCTGAGGGATGGTGGCTGGCCCTGTAGGTCGTGGAGAGGATGGGATAAGGTCACGTCTGTGGAGCTCATTGTGGTGCCTGGAGAGTGGTGAGACTTTGTAGACACTGTTCACTTGGGTTGCCCCAACGTGGTGTGGTACATGGGGTTGGGGGCAGGGTAGAGGGGGCTCAGGAAGGTGATCGGCCAACACCTGCTACATACATTCAGACGTGGCTCTGGAGCAGCTGCCATAATTTTTGCTTCCTATTGCTGCCTCACCTAATGCTATTGGAAGCCCTGGAGGGTGGCCACGGCTGTGCAGCATGCTGCCTGTCCTCTCCCCCAGCCGGAGCCTGCAGTCTGCAGCTCCTTCCCAGAGCCTCCCCGGTAGGCCCTTCCTGCTGTCTTGGAATGCAGAGGCCTGTTCTGACTGGCCGGCTCCTGTCTGCAGAGCAGGGCTGGCCTCCCTGGCCTCATGCCTCCCCCATCCCTGGAGAGAAGAGGGACTATCTGAAGACCGGCCCCTGTCTGCCTCAGCTCCTTCCTGCCCATTGCCAGGCTCGTCCCCAGCACTGGCAGACAGCGAAGGCCCCTCGTCCATTTCTGTGTCAGCCGTGTCCAGGAGCTCTCAGGGAGGTCCCCTCCACCTCTGCTAACAGCCTGTCTCTGGTTCAGCTTCCAGGCCGAGAGGCCTGCCTTGAATGTCGTCATCTTCCCTCTGCTCCACGAAGGCCTGACTGATGTCATCCGCGATGTCCCCATGGCGCACCTGGATGAGATCACCTTGTTTAAAAGCAGAGTGGCCGAAGAACCACCAAACCTTTGGTGGTGAAAGGTACAGGCCAGCGCGGGCCGAGCTGCTGCCCGTCGGTCTCAGTCACCACGAGGATGCCCTGCTGCTCATCGCCTGCTCAGGTCCCTATGGGCCCCTTGGCTTGTCACCAGAGAAGACAGAAAGCCATCTGTCCCACCATCCTGGCTCCCAGACCTCCCAGTGTTTCCCTCACACTTTCTTGTGAGGACTAGTTGCTCCGTGAAGTTTGGATGAGGGTTTGTGCTCTGGGTGACGTGAGGGAGATCTGGTGGGCCAGTGCCATGGGCAGGGGCAGCTGGGCCAGGTGGAGAAGCCCTGGAGGCCCTGCCTACCTCCCTGAGCGTCAGGTGGGCCGTGGGCCCAATGCTGCCACCCCTTCCCTTCAACTCTGAAGAGGTCCCCTGGCTCCTGTTTGTGGCCACCTGCCCTCCAGGACGGGTGGCCATGCCGTGAGCATGGATGATGCGTGCTCGCCCTGCTGCGAAGGCCAGCCAGCGACTGTGGGTCCAGGTGCCGCTGTGTTGTCAGGACAGCTGTGAGTGTGACAGTGAGCAGGACCCCGGGGCTGGAGCTGCCGAGTGGGCCCCCCAGGGCTATTGATGCCAAGGAGCGGGGCCTGTCCCTCCATCTCCACATGGCTCATGGCACTGGACCCCTGTGAGGGTCTGAATGCGGTTCTGGGGAAACATAAATCCAATCAGCTTTGTTCATGTAATTCGAAATATTAAAACCCAGAAAGGATGTTTCAGACTGGAGTAGAGTTCAGATTATTGTGTTTCAGATAGCTTTATTTAGTACTTTAAAACAATTCCATGGAGCTATTCCAAAAACGAGAACCCTCCTCTTGGTGTGTGAGGCCTCGCCCTCTGTGCTGAGCTGACTGCCTCTGCCTTTTTCGGCCCTTCTGGAGCTGTCACCCACTGACTGGTGGGCTTCCGGGGTGGGGTGGGGGGTTGTAGCTGGGTCCTGTCCCTATGAATTGCTCTGGCCCCCAGCAGGCCAAGAGGGTGGTTCCTAGCCTGAGGCACCTTGGTCTCTGCAGAGCTGGGGGAGCAGAGCCCACCAGGCCTTGTCCGCACTGCCGGTGCCCCTGTTGGCTGCTGGCTTCCTCCTGTGTTTCCCTGGTGATGGGTCCTCCCATCCTGTGTAGTGATGTCTCTGTTTCCTGTGCTGTTAAAACTGGGTGGATTGGTCTTCTGTCCTTCCCTGCGCTCTTGGGGGCAAATAGTTCTCAGCAGCTCTGCCCCCCAGGCTGAGGGATTCCGGGATGCCATCAGAGGCAAGGCTGCAGGGACCGAGTACTCCTGGGGGGGCATGCTTTGACCAGCCCTCCCATAAACATGTGTTTGTGTGGCCGCCTCCTGGCCCTCCTGTCTGGCGGCCTGCTCCATCCCAGCAACTACTTTTGTTTGCCCAGGTGGATTCGCAGGGCGAGATCTCCCTCTTTGCCGTTTTTCTTGCATGAGTGGGGTCATCACCTCCTCTTTGTAACTAAGGCACTCTCTCCCCACTCCAGGCTGCAGCCAAGGGAGGGCCCTCTGCTCCTGGCCAGAGGTGGCTGACCCAGGGGTGCCCTGGAGTGGGGGCCCACACCTGACCTGTGCCTTCACCTTTGAGGTCCTGACGTTGCTTCTGAGAGCCACAGGCCACGTCCTCTCTCTTCCTGGCCTTGCAGGCCACAGGGATAGGCTTCTTGGGGCCCAGAGGGCAGGGTCGAGGGCCCACACAGCTATGGGTGAGGGACAGAAAGGTGGTGAGAGGTGCCCTTACCTCTAGTGTCCGGGCATTTCTTTTGAGCTTTAAAATGGCACCTGGAGATCACCGAGTGAGGTGACCAGATTGGGTGGCGTGTGCTGTGTGGCGTGTGGCTGCCTGGGACTGACTGCTTCTTGTGCACGACTGGTTGCTAACAGGCAGAGGGGATGTGGCCTATGTGGCCTAGAGGACTCCTAGACCCTCAGGGGCCCTTGTGCCCTCTCCTTCCTCCAGAGCTCCCCCACTCAGGCCGGGGAATTGTCTTTCCACTGGGAATTGATCCAAAAAGCTGTGTGTTTTTATGATCTTGCCTGGATGGTCTGTTCTCATGAGCAAGCAGTTTTAACCAGCAGCGTAATTTATGCTCATAAACGGGCTGAGTGGGGAGGGGGCTGTTCACAAGAGGCTGGGGGCACAAACTGCCTTGGAAAGCAGCCCCCCAACCGTAGACCTTGTATTTTTAGTGTCCCCTGCAACAATCCTTTGACTTAGAGCAAGAATTTCCGCTGCTTCTACACCCGAGACAGGATTCACCAGATGTTAATAACGTGCTTATTTTCTCTAAGTGCTATTTTGGCACCGGTGTTAATTGCAATTTATATTCTGCAGCATCTTACACTGGGAAAAGAACCCACCCTAATAGTCCCCAATTGGCAGAGCTGGGCTGTTAAGCCATGGACCATATGCTGCCTGCCGAGAGGAGCACGGTCAGCGCTCGGGCCTGTGCCTGTGTGTCTGTATGTGCCGTACGTCTGTGTGTGCATGCCTGCCCGCACATGTGTGTGTGCACCTGCACGCACGAGTCCCGGTATGCAGGCACGTGCGTATGTCTGTGCTGTGTGTGCGTGTGCATACACATGTGCCTGTGTGTGTGAGAGAGACTGGGAGAGGCGGGAAGCAGCAGATCAGGGCTTTTTCCCCTTTTGTTCTTAAAAAGAAAAACCCCTGACCTCTCATGCTGCACACTCCTGCCTATGCCCCACTCCTTGTGGACTCCTGCAGCCCTCCATCCTGTGTCCTGCTATTGCCAGGCAACACCAGGTCCTGCTGGGCTTCTGAAAGTGACCCTGGAGAAGGCATTTGAGTCTGAGGGAACCAGGAGAAAAGGTGCATCTCTCGACCCCAAGGGCCCCCTTCCTGCTATGGGGCAGATTTTCTCATTTCTCTGTGAAAGGGAGGCTGGGAGCAGCCCTTCACTCTCATAGCACTCTGTCTTGCCTACCAGCTGCCTGCAGAGGCCCTGTGGATTGCCCTGAGGCCCTCTGGTCAGAGCCCATGCACCTGCGTGTACACATGGTAGAAGGGCACTTGCAGCTTAGGCTAGGACTGAGGATTCCCACAATGCTGCACTCTCCCCTCAGACAGCTCATAGCACCTCCCTTCCCTGCTCCTGCTCCCTGTGGGGGACCCAGAGTCACAGGCCACTTGGGCAAGAGGCCGAAGCAGGCACAGACAGGCCTGGACCTGTAGAGGCCTGCTGGGAAGGTGGGCTTAGACAGTGGGGCTGTGGATGCCAAGGGCCCAGCCTCTGGCCAATGAGTGTCCATGACCAGCTTCCCGGCCGTGGAGTATGCAGACTACACCCCCATGGTGCTGGGGCTCGTGGTGAGGGAGTCACCCTCCTTCCCATCCCCATGCCAGGGGCACAGGGGCATCTTCCCACTGCTTTTTTGCCCTTGTTATTTGCTCCTTTTAGGATTTGAAAATCATAGAGCTCTTATGAGAAGGAATGGTACAGAAGTTGGCGGATGGCTTGAGAGTGAGGTACAACTGTTGGCAGGGGTTCCAGCCGTGGAGCCTGTGGCAGGGGACCCTGACTTCTGTGGGCTTACAGGTTGCCACCTATTGTCCTCAGTGACCTCGACTGTGATGCCAAGGGCGGGGCTCTTTGATGATTATTGGTCTCCACTTTTGGGAGTGCAGAATTCTAGTGAGAAGTCTCTGCTCTACTGGGTATGGTGAATAAAAAACACACCACAGAAACGTAGAGAAAAACAACTGTGGGTCTGACATAAGCTGACCAATGTTATCTAAATTACTTTGCTCTTTAAAGAAACACCTAAGGGTGGGATTTTATGTTACTATCATGGTGGGGGAAGGGGGGACCTTGCTGCATCCCATTCTGAGCTGGCTGGATCCAGGAATGAAGGTGACCAGGGCAGCTGTCCAGCTGTGTCGGTTACAGAACTGAGCCAGGACTGGGGAGGTCTGTGCGAAGCCGCGCTGCTTCCAACACTGATGTGGAGTCTGCACCAAACCCACCAGGGTGGGAGGCGGGCCTTGCTGGGGAAGAGTCCGTGTGGTATGGGCTGGTGAGTGTGCGAGGGACATGTGTGCAAAGGGTGTTCATGGGTAGGTGGGAGTGTGCATGTGCGTGCACGTGCGTGCTCCTCTCCCGCAGCCCTCAGTGGCCTCTCTGTCCAGCCCTGCACCGCCAGCCCTCTGACCACTGCCCATCTGTGCGACTTCACCCAGGACCAGCTGAGTTCAGTGTTTTATCAGGGGATGGGTGGGGAAGACCTTCCCCTGGCCCCGGGGGAGTCGCCGTATCTTGTGACCAGGTGCTAATTGACTGTACACTCCTCACCTGCCTTTCTATGACTGACGTCCCTGTCTGGCTGAACTGCCCACGTCTGTGGCATCCCGTGGTGATGCCTGCTCTTGAATTTGGTGTTTACCCTAGCAAGCTACATTCTGGATGGGTATTTTCATGTAAACTTGTGGCATGTGGAAAATTTGAAATAAAGTGGACTTGATTTAGAAAGCTGCCAGTTGTGTGGTCCTTTTAGCAGGGGCATCTTGGTCCTTCACCTGCGACCCCTCCCTGGGCCTGCAGTGGGCATGTCGTTTACTTGCGATAGTGGGGGGGCACACACTGCTTGGGCACCCAGGGCCTGAATAGGTGCATGGGTGGAGACATGAGGCCCAAGGGTGGGCACCAGACACAGGGAGGGGCATTAGGAGAGAACCCCTGAGTTGGCCTTGGTAGGCTGGGGAGGCCAAGCGTGGGAGAGGCTGCACAGAGCAGGGTGGGTGGCAGGGAGGGTGCAGGGCTGCTCCACGTGTGCTGGTGGCAGCTAGACAGTGGAGGGCAGTGCTGGCTGAAGGCAGGCAGGGCTGAGGCGTTCCTGGGGCCTGGGGACAGCACTGGCGTTGTTTCCAAGTACCAGTAACCAAAGTCAGGTGCAGTGGCGGCTCCGTGGTCCCAGCTCAGGAGGCTGAGGCAGGAGAGTGGTGAGCTCAAGGCCAGTCGAGGCAACATCCTGAGACCCTGTCTCAAAACAAAGCATACGTGTTCATTTATTTGTTACCCCAGGTAAAACCTGCCGTCTGAACCCCGCAGAAGTGCTCGGCACAGGGACGTGAAGCACATGGGCACAGTGCAGCCATCACCATGTCCCCTCTGCAGTCCCTTCGTCCTGCAAAATGGAGACTGCAACACCACGCACCTTCCCTTCTCCTGGCCCCAGCTTCCTGCTTCCTGTCTCTACGTCGACTCCCGGGTGTCCTGTAGAAGTAGAGGCAGGGGCCTCCTGTCCTTGATTTGGTCTGAGCATCTTCCAAAGCTTGACAGGCACTCATAGGACTTCTGGCTGAGAGGACATGGGAGTGTGTGTGGTGAGAAAAATCTAAGGCCCGGGGCCAGCAGTCAGCATAATGGCTATGTCACTGGACTCCCACGTAGTCGACTGCAGTTTGAGTCCCGGACCCGGTGGCTTAAACTCATGCCGGGTGCATGTGTGTGCATGCCCAAGATCCCAAGAGGAGAATAGAAGAGAAGGGATTGCGGCGTAGCCATCCCCTCTGGGGGGTGATTTCTTGCTTTCTGTCTCTCTGTTTCTCTCTGTCTTTCTGGCGAGCGCACGGGCCCTATAGCAAAAACCTCTCCAAAAAAAAAAAAAAAGAAAGAAAGAAAGAAAAATCTAAGGCTCATACTTGGAAGGCACACTCGTGACCATCACAGGTCAGGGAGAGGAGGAGGCGCCAAGGCCGAGGGCAGCCGTGGAATGTGCCGTCTGTTGCTGTGTAACAAATCGCCCCGTGTGTCTGGTGTAACACCTGTTTTGAGAGGCTCGGGGCTTCCACGGGGCAGTTATTTGGACAGAGGACAGCAGGATGGCTTGCCTCTGCTCCCTGGTGTCTGGAACCTCTGCTAGGGGTGACTTAAAACAGTTGGGAGCTGGAGTCTTCTGGAAGCATCTTGGCTTACATGTCTGGTGGTTGATGGTGGGGACCTGGAGCTCTGTTGGGCCTGTCCATATGGTCTCATGTGGGCTAGTTGGGCTTCCATGTAGCACGGCAGCTGGGTCCCAAAAGCAAGTATCCCAAGAAAATCAAGAGGATGGGTCCTAGCCTCGGGCACGATAGAGTATCACTTCTCACTCAGTTGACTGAGGCATTCAGAGAGTCCACCATATCAAGGGGTGCAGCACGGACTCCCCTGTGCTAGGAGATGTGGCGAGGTCTCATCGCAGATCTCATGGGGTGGGAGGTAGAGGTGTGGCCGTTTTTAGAAAGTGGGTCATGGTGAGGGAAGTGCTATTGTCCAGGCTGATGAGGCCCTGGCCTGTTGGCCTGGACTCTGCTCAAGGCCTTGCTGGAGCGTGAGGACAGGAGCATCAGCCCCCGGTCTGGGAGAACTTGAGTTTCCCACACACCTCTTGAGCAGATGCCCGTTTTGTGGGGAGGAAGCACCACGCCAGAGAAGGCCGCAGAATGCATGAAGAAGCCAGAAAAGGCTGCGGGTTTGCACTTGGAGTTTACTGCGAGTGTGAAGCTGCCTGGCCTTTGTCAATATGCTGAGCCTTTAAAAGAAAAATCAAAACAGCCTCAAGTAAAGCCGTCCTTTGTAGCAGAGATGAAAAAGCCAAGAGCCTGTGTGTTTTGAGGGTTTGCATTCGAAGCCTCGGGAATCAAGGCTGGAGGAGGGAGGGACAGCTAGAATGAGAGGCTTTGATTGTCCCCAGGAGCTCTGCGTAGCGATTTATTTATTGCTGGCGCTTAACTTTCTGGGATGGTGGAGGAAGCCTTGCAGAATCCTAACTTCAGAGGCAGGAATCTTCGATGGGCTGCTGTGACCCCGTTTGCAGATGAAGGGCGGAGGTCAGAGGGGCAGCCTCATGCTTGAGGCTTGTCTTGGTCAGTCAGTGTGTGTGGTCACAGAGCCGGCTGGGACAGGGCACTCTGTGGCTGGAGCTACGTGGGGGAGCCACCAGATATGAATGTCACCTC